TCACAAATTCATGATTGCTTAAATATAAACAAACAGTTATGTTCTGTCAATAACAAAAATTATACTGGTCATTTCCAAACTTTAGTTTTGAAATATGAATCTAAAGTAGCCACATTAATTACGGACAAAGGAATTTCTTGTGGTTGTTTGTCTTTGCTCATTGTTTTTGGATTTCAAAATCAAATAAAAACTCTTCGATTTTAAGAAAACCCAACTCACCTCTCTTGGTTTGTCTTACATTTACCAAAAAAAACAAATTTCTTGGAGAAGTTATTTTAGTACAGCAGCATTAAATACCAGCTTGTGCTTTGCATAATTATGAAAGAGCTTCCACATAGATTCCTATAAGTAGAAGAAAAGAGAGTAAATCTAAATCCTAACTTTTGAACCTAATACCAGAAATGAGCTTAAATTTTTAAATACACCTAAAAAAATAAAAACATCAATAACCACAATTCAACACTCATCTTTTTTTCATCACTATCTCAGCAGCTAAAAGGCAGGCAAAATAAAGTGAAAAGCAACAGCATAAACATACCATCATGATCACGGATGGTGGCATAGCGACTATTTGCAAGAGGGCATGAACTACGATTACAGATCCCTGTTACATTATAAGGATTCCTACAGAAAATCCCAGTATTGATTCTGAAACAACAACACAACAATTCAGAAATTAAATCATTAGATCAAAAGCAAACAAGATGCTTAATTTAACTGAACTAAGTAAAGGGATTGAGATTACTTGGCCATGTAACTACAGTGTTTGTGCCGGATAACTTGCCATATGACCTCGTCGTGCTGCATCTTTTCTTAATTTGCTACTACAGCTCAAAATGAATGAAGTTATTAGGTTATTACTATGGGAAACAGCAATTGGAGTAAAAGGAAATGCAAAAGGAAAGCCAAACAGAGGGAAGAGTGTCTAGGTCTAGACTATCTATCTGGGCTAAAAGAAATTAGGTTTTTGCCAAAGTCGGTCCCTTTAAAGAAATTAGATCTACAAATCAAGGTTTATATAAACATAAGCATTGCCCACAAGGGGCGGCTCAAGTTCAAACCTTGAGTCGGGTGGAGAGGAATTTGGGAAAAGGGAAGGGCTATCCTCTTGCATAGCTCATCAGATAAACCAAAAAATATATATATAAACATAAGCACTGCAACTCTTATTCCCATAAAGGAAAAACAAAGTCTGATATGAGAAACCATAACAAAGTAAACTCAGTAATCATCCCTACATAGTACATGAATAGTCAATCAAATCAAAACACTCAAAAGCAAAATTGAGACTAGAATTAACCAACCAAATTCTCCTTCTCTGTTTTCTGTGCAGCCTCCTCACACCCTTCTTCTGTATTTCTACTCTCTGGTTCCAAGAGGTAGCTCCGGTTCAGCCGAATGTTCCTCTCGTGGTTATGGCCTCTGCTGCTTTCCTTTCCTTCTTTTTTGTTTTTGGTTTCTACCGCTGATTCCTCTCTCTGGATTGTCTCCTTGGTCCGGTAAACCTCGGATGAAAGTAGCAGAGGTCGGGGAATAGAGAGGAGATGGAGATGGGATGCGCGGCGGGTGAATGCAAGAAGGAGAGAGTGGGTAACCGAAGTTCGGCGGAGAGGGATAACGGTGATGGAAGTGAAGGCAAAGAGGGCGTCCGGGTGTAGAGATGGTGTCTGCGGCTAATCCCCAAAAAAGAAAAAGAAAATGTTAAACCACCAATTTGGGTTCCTCTACTTTCAGTTTTAGATCAAAATGTTCCTTGAGTTTTAAAAACTACTAACATGGTTCTTAAACTTGGAATTTTCTTCCACTAACTTAGTTATTTTGTTAACAAAAGTGTCCCTTGTTATGTTAAGTAGCCAGACCAAAATTAATACTTTAATTCAAAATATTATGTGACAATTCTAAAACTATTTTTTTTGTTGAGATGGACAATTTCCTATGTCCACATTGAACTTCTTATGTGAATTCTTTTTTTTTTTCCACAAATTTTGATATTTTACCTTTTTATCTTCAATTTAGATACTTTACTAAATAAATTAAATTAAATGTAGTGGACTCCCTTATTTTAATTAGAATTAATTCCCATAGTAAAATAGGTAATTAATTGATTTTTTTAACTAATTTATTATTATTTAAAAAATTTTGTATTATAGTTCGAACTATATATTAAAAGTGTTGCCTTATCCATGAATTTAATAAAATATTT